ACGTGTGCTCTTCCGATCTTTCCTAAATCGTACCTAACCTAACCAGCAAGAGTTCTTATATCGTATCGGTACAATTTAGGAATACTAATGTATTTTTACCTTTAGATCACATGACATAATTAACATTATATTTATTTTAAAACGATCGAAGTTGTTCTGTAGCAAGTCTGTAGAGGAAAAAACCGTCATCGAGTTGTGTAAGCAAAACAGCATTCTTTGATAAATTACAATTAAAGTAGATATTAATTCAAGATTCTTTTATCAATCTTGTGTTTTTAATTATTTTCATTCATAAATTCAATAGTTTAGAAGGAGATACTGTTAATAAAACTCACAGGTACGATTTAGGCGACCGGTTTGCTGAATCGTGCTTTTGACAGCATGTTATAAAAAAGCTTAGAACAAATTAATTTGCTATTAGTGAAAGATTTAACATGTAATATTTGATGCCTTGAACATCAAGCTACAATTTCTAACGTTTGTTTGCATTCTAAATAGTACCAAATGTGAAATATAACCAAAAATATCTTAAGTGGTACCGGCAACTCTCCTCTACATATATATATGTATATCTAATTGTAAGTTAAAAATAAGAAAATAACACCTACAAGAATGAAAACTAATAATTACTGTTGAAAGGAAGTCAAAATAGACGAATAGAAGTCAGAATAGAGCTGACGAAGTAAAGCTATGAAGCAAATGTGTCACGTCAATTTCTAGGAGACAATATAATTGACGGAATTGAAAGAGAAAGTGACGCGGACGTAGTTTTATGATTTCTTTAAGTCTGCAGTTTCCGCTCTATAATTATTAAAATATTTTAATGTATATAAAAAAAGAATTTCATTTTTGCGCAATTTACAGCAGCAGAATGATGTCATATATGGCGGAAGGTATAAACGATATTTATAGGTATACATCTTGTACGCGTCATATAGACGTATAGATGATTTTGTGCGTGGTCGTGTGTATCTCGATCTTGCGGTGCTGAACACTCATTGCGACACTTCCCATATTTCCGAACGTGCAATTATGATCGATATCAAGCCGCGTTCATGCGCTGAGCTAATGTTCTCTCCGAGCAGGCTGTAGAGTTGTAACATTACGAAGATTATCTGAGAATTTTTAAATTATTTGAATCTCACGACAAAATAACAAAATATCTCTTTCTCTTTAATAATCTAACTTTAGAAGTGTTTTCTTAATTTGAAGAATTAACGCTATATACATAGGCATGTACATACATTTAGAGAAAAAGATATAACCATGAATTATTTAGATTACAAGATGACAAGTTTTATATGTAAAATTAATGTACATAAATAACTATTTATGGTACACTATTCATGTACTATTTATAGTGTGCTATTTATATTGCAACTATCAAATAGTTTATTCAACCATGTGTATTAACTATATGTACATTAATTATAATATATTTATATAAAAAATAATTTTTTCAACTATATACATATAAAATTTGTATACTTCTTAGCTATATAAGTATAGTTGCTAGTCTTTCTCTGAATTTGCGACATGTTACATAAAATATATCGCTTATTTGCTATAACAACGTCATAAAAAACAAAAAACAAAATTTTCTAAGTTTAAATGTTTTAAATCATTAAAATTTTGTATCATTTTTATATGCGATTTTGGTATTACAATTTGATGATACAATCTAATTGTAAAAGAACAAAAGTACTGCTATAGTTCTTCATTCAGTGTATTGAATTCTCATCACACACACACACTTTTCTCTTTGCAGACGAAAATAAAAAATTACTATTAAAATTTTTCAATTACGTCATTGTTGCAGCAAATTGAGCGATATTATATGTATATACTACATAGTTATATATAAATAAAGATCTCAGAGCTGAACATTCTTCGAACTGTGCCGGAAGTTGCGCGATAATTGGAAGGGATAACTGGACGGAGCAACACGGGGCGATGCTTCCGTTACAAGCACGATTGGCGTAATATTTCTTGGCACGCGCGTAAGATCTGACATTGAAAACTGATGGGGCAGCTACTCGAACGGTATCGCGTTCAAGTCAGCTACATTAATCTTATGATTCTCAGCTATAAGCCGTGGATTTACAAGAAAGTCTTGCAGGTGCAAGCTGAGAATCAGAGTAACAATTCCTGTAATCTTTCGGCTTCGAAATAATAGGTCGAATCGTTTCGTTTCAGCACAGACCGGTTGACGCAAAATGACGGATACTTTCACACGGAGGTCGATTTAACGCCGTTCCACGATGTACGCCGAGTGGCAAAAGGTGAGTTGGTATTTATTGGCTATAGCTGTGTTATCTTGAAAGACTGGACTCGTCGTGAGTTGTTTTTACACGGCTTATAATAATAATAATAATAATAATAATAATAATAAATATGCTTGCTGGCGTTAAATGCCGAGCGTTCCTAAAGTTATACGACTATTTTATTAAGGAAAATCTGTAAATCGAAGATATTGACAAGCGAAGGGACTGACCCTAAGAATAAAAAAAATCATAATGACATCAAAATTGCTTCAAAATCATTAAGTCACTCCTCAATCAATCACACAATTCATTTTAACATTATCTTGACGTTATCGTGCGATCTCGGTTGTTCCGCTTTCGAGACGTTAATGAAAGAACGGTGTCGTTCCTGTTGGAGCTTGTTAATCGTTTATTAAGAGAGGCGTTGTGAGTTCCCACTCGTATATAGACTCGTAGATCGGTAAGACGGTCATTTTTGGATTGTCACCGCGTTGCACAATGTTTACGTGGTCACGACCGCGCGGTGGGATCACGCTGCGTGGTCGGAGTCAATGATCTGCGCACACGCAATTGCATCGCCGCTGCACTCTGCAGCAGCCACTTTCCAACGCCTCGTCCGACGGCGTCTTTCCACGCTTAGTCGACGATCGATCCGCGCGCCGCCGACCGTCCTCGACTTTTGCAGAAATTGAAAAAAAAAAAAAAGAAACACTTTGGCCTGAAAAATGAGTTTTTATACAAGGTCGCTCGGGAAACTCGAGAGAGATCGTTGAAAGTGACGCATTTTAAGGGAAACACGTGTATCAACTGTTCAAGTGTGTGTGCACTTTTTTAAAATCTTTTAAAATAAAAGAGAGATTAAAACGCGAGCCGTCTTGCGAAATTAAAGAGATGGACTTATTTGATTAATACAAATATCTTGAAAAATTCGGTAAAAATTTTCGAATTACAAGCGACTGAAACGCGCCTTCACGAGTGAGTTTTAACGGCGTTAAATTATAACTGTATAAGTGTATTAATCCGCGAGTCTCGGTCACCTTTGAATTTAGCATAGTACCTATATGACAGGCGGCGACGTGGAAGGACGACTTGAAAAGACTCTTGCCACGCGGACGCGGTTCGGAATGCATCGCGAGCGGGCTGGCGCAATGGCGGCTTCTCACTTTTACTTCGCTCCCCGCGCATCCAATCGCGGATAATGAGCGGCGGAATAATTAAGGAAGGCATTCCTATACGGCACGGCTCGAGGCGCGAGTGTAGCAGCAGGGCATTAACGAAATTGAAATGGATTATTAAATAACCGACATTATCGGAAATGAAGACATCAAGCCGCCGGAGGGGGGATTTAATGAGCTACGCCCGCGTGCTTCTTTTATAGACCGGATATTTTTTACCGTCTATCCCTCTAATAAGAACAATCTTCAGAAGACGAAACGATGCAACGTTGTGAGTCCGTTTTCTCTCTCTCTCTCTCTCTCTCTCTCTCTCTCTTCATCAATTTTAAGAAACGAAACAATTCGGAAGAGGGTCACGTGACTCGCCGTCTGGAAATCTGTTTAACATCGATAAATCAATCCGACGTCCGTCGTAAGAAGAAGATGATGATGAAGAAGAAATAATCGTGTCTCATCTTGCGGTTTCGCTCGCCGCCGCGCTCCCGCAATCGACAATTTCTATCGCTCTTCTGCAACTCGCCACGGCCGCTAGGCAGAATAGCTTCCCTTCGCGCGCGTACCTGCGCCTCCCTCCCCCTCCCCCTTCCCCCGCTGGCATAAGCCGACCCGCGTATGTAATACCCGTGCGCACGTGCACACATGCATGCGGTCGCGCGCGCGTGCGTATTTAGCGCGTAATTTATATAAGAAGAGAGGCACGCTTGGTTCCACCCCAAAGCGCTTCGATCCCACTGGCGCCGGTAGCTTATGATTTCATCGCGCTGCAAAATCCCGGGCTGCACGGGGGGGCCTGATGCAGTGGAGAAGCGCGGGCGAGCGCGCGCGTGTAGAAACTCCCCGGTCGAGATTGAGCGAGCTGCCGATCGGAACGTACAGAGGAATCAAAGCGGGAGGAACTCTTCGGGAAAGAAGAGTATACGGGGAAAGTTTGCGCGATCGCGGTGGCGCGATTAGAGCGGGCGTCGCCGCCGCCGCCGCCGTCCGATCGGGGAAATATGGACCGCTTTCGGGCACGGCCTAATTAGCGTGTCTCAATTAAAATTGCATATATACGCCACTGCGCGGCGTATATACCGGAGGCACACACAATTGTTGCAGAGAGGGAAGAAACACACTTCCCGCAACACTTCCAGTGCCGCGTCGAACATCCTAGCGTCCGCATCGCGAACGTCGCGCGCGCGTCACGCCACTTCGGGCTTCTTCTCGCAGAGGGAAGAAATTTAAGGGGGGCCCTCTTTCCCCCCCGCGAGGAGAGAATCTCTCGCGAAAGGGTCGGTTTCGCGAATCGGTCTCGACCGCGAAGCGGGCGGCCGCAGGCAGAACCGTCGCGTCAGGTAGGACCGAAGGATGACGACACCGCCGTCGGGGCACCGTTAACGAATTCCGCGCGTGTGTGCAGCCGCGGACTTTTGCCGACTGACCCAATGAGCCCGATAGAGCCCGTTTGCTTGCGTGGCCTCCTAACTTCTTTAAGCCCGAATTTAACATGCACGGGCCTCGGCCGTCGTCGAACGGCTTAGGCCGTCGCCACCGCGATCGCCGATCGTGACGGGACTCCGCGACATCGGGAGACCCGCGCGTGCGCGTGTACGCTACTCGCATAAATAGACCCGCGAAATGCGCGGGGCGAAAAGCCCCCCTCCCCCTCCCCCGTGCGACGCGGAAGACGCGGAAAAACGGTACAACACGGAAACACGCGTCGGATGAAGGCCTAACATGAAGGAATGTGAACGTCTCGACGGACGAGCGATAGCTCATCCCGAGTTATTCCAACGACCGCCGCCGCCGGTCGTTTCGCGCCAGGTTTCAATTGGAAAACGGGAAGATTTTTACGGCGCGACGTTGTTTTATTAGTCGCGGGAATACGACTCGCCTAAGATACGAACCCCAGCAAAGCCGGGTTTTCTCTCAACGGTGGCCACGGACAACTGCGGTATCTAACTGAAAACTTGTTCGCGGGCGATCGCGACGCGCTTGACCCGTTTTTCACTTCGTTCTTTTTTTTCGGTTTCGTGTAATAAACGGTGTCGAAATCGCATTACGCACGAGTGACTTGTGAGTTTCACAAATAAGAGAAGAAAGAAATAATAAATATTAAACGTAATAAATAATTTGAAAAAAAAAAATATATATCAATGTGTGTCAGACCGTCGTATGTTAACGCGAATGTTTTCCGTTTATGTTTGAGTAAATTAAATAATATAATTAATATTAATATAAATGTGTGTGTATGTGTGTGAAACACACGTCGTAGGACGCAGTTAATGCGCTCGATTCAGCGGAGTGATTCGCGAGTTCGCGATTGGTGCTTTAAACATTTCCTGAACGACCGACCCGACACGTCACGTCACGTCAATTTTAAGCGGGGCATCGAGAATCCTCCTTGACGATCTCGCGAGTGAAAGACGCGTGTGTCGCGTGTGTACGTACATACGTTCGATACCTCGGCGCGCATCCGAGAGAGTTGCGCGCAGCGGGCATTGACTTGAAACGCTACACGCGTCCATCATCCACGACGAGGTTGTTATTTAAATTGAGCGAACTTGAAAGAAAGGAAGGATGAGAGGGGGGAAGATATGCAATCGAAACCTCGACGTCGCTGTATAACTGAGGAAAAACGCAATCATACTGCACGCGATGTTTTCGAGGAGAGAAAAAGAAACGAGGGAAGAGGAACAAGTAAGATATTTGTACGCGTAACCGTGGCATCGTGAACTGTGTGGGAATAGCTGGAACGCGCGCGCGTCGACGATAAACGCCACCCTACCGTTTCTCGTTCGAGGATTCGTATATATGTACGTCGCGATCGCGTCGTTTCGACGATCGCTGCATTCGGATAAAAGTCACAATTGTGTGAGCGCGTCTGTGATCACGCGATTGCGTTTTAACTTTTTTAACGCGTTGCGTGCCACGTCACTTGTGTACGACATTATGTGCAAAGATGAACAGACGAAGATATACGCATAAATCATTTTCATGAGAAACTGAATCGAAAGAGTATATAACACAAATAAGGGAGTCGGCCCGTACTCGGTCCAATCTTGGTCAAGCGGATGTCGGTATACCTGATATTCTCGCGTGAATTTCCAGTTTGTGCAAACTGCGCGCAACTGCAGCAAAAAAAAAAAAAAGAAATCGGTCACAGTTTTGCAAACGGAGAATTGTCTGCGAATGCAATTGCGTTTGATCTTCGTCATTATACACGCGTTCGAAATGGCTATATGGATGAGTGTCCGAAGCTGGTAGAAAGTAGAATCCAGTAGAGAAATCGAGTTGATAATATTGGCGACTCGAGGTCTTTCGCGATTACGCGCGAGGCGAGAGAAGTTTCGGCGAGGGGGGCAATAAAGTTACGTGCGATCGGTCCGCGCATGAGACGCGCGGCCGATCGCCGATATTCCCGGCAGCGATGGTCAACGTGGATTCACCGGGACCGAGCGCGAGGCAACAGCAGCAGCAACGGCGACGCTGGTCCGTGGGTCGATCGTCGACCCCGCGGAGTCACTTTTCGCTGCACTCTTCCGAAGCTTTCTACGCGAGCGCTACGGAACCGTTATCCGGCGGCGGCGGCGGCGGCGGCGGCAGCCGCGGCGGCGGACGCGCGTTGCATAATGCGAGCGGCAACGGCCCAGACCCAGATTCGAATTCCGCCCTGGATTCCTGCGCGCCGGAAGCGGCGGGTAACAGACAGCTGCAGTACCGGGCGGCTTCCGACCGATCGCGGACGTCCCATCAGGAGAGCGCCTTCTACACGGTGCCGCGCGGCCCGGCGGTCTCCAGGAGGGAGATCCTGCGACGCGTCAGGTGCGTCAAGGACGACGTCGAGACGCGCCATCCCACGCCGGAGAGGGATCAGGTCGATCAGAAGAGGCCGAGAACGTTGCCGTCGATCGGCAGGCGAGCGCGTCAGGACCAAGCCGAGCGCGCCACCTCGTCGCTCCTGAGGCGAGTCTCCCGGCAGGATATCCTGCGGCGTCGCGCGAGCGTAGAGGCGAGCTCGCAGCTGAAGGATGTCGCGAGAACGCCCGCGGGTTACCCGGAGCGCTCCGGGCGCCCCTCGGCGAAGGAGGATCGCGATCACTCGCGGCCGTCGACCCTGCCGAAGATCTTGCACGCCACGCGGACGTCTCGGCTGGAGGAGTACTCGTCCCCGAGGACGAGGGAGGTCGCCGGCAGGGAGGCGCCGATCTACGGACGGATTCGCCGACGGAAGATGTCCCTGCCGACCGGCGCGGGCGCGGGCGCGACGTCGCGTGACTCGACGACACCCTCGAGTACGTTGACGAGGCTCTCCAGAACGAGGGCGAGCGGAGAAGAACGCGCGCGGGGCACCTCGACGAAGGTCGTTAGACACCTGCGAGATCCCGTCCCCGATCCGCCCGACGCCCGGTCCAGATGCACCGCGGACGACGTCGGTCGTGACGATATTTATGTCAAGGTCGCGCGCAGAGCCTCCAGGCAAACGCCTCGCGAGGAGAGACCGCCGGAGCCGATGTCCAGGCGCAGAATAATCAACAACGTGGACCACACGGACTCCCTGGAGCGAAGGCCGCACCGAGATCGAGATCAGGACGTGGTTCGCGTCAGGCACGACGCCATACTGGTCTCCAAAGAGACCATCGAGCGGCTGCGTAATTTCAAAACGGAGAGACACGACCACGAGAACGTGAGGACGCCCCCCTGCCGCGTGGACTCCGCCTGGTCCTCCGCGCGAAGAGACTCGAAAACGGACTCCTGGTCCCGCGGCAAGTGTCCCCACAGGGATTCCACGTGGACCGGCGAGAGGCAGCAAGCGAGGTGCCGGCCGAAGTCGCAGAGCGAGATGCTGACGAGGGCAGGGCAAGCGGAGGGCGCGAAAACGGGGATGAGGTCGACGACGTTACCGAGCTACATGAAGATCGGACGGCGGACGTCGACGGGGAACCCGCCGGCGCGCGATGTGGACGAGCCGAGGGGAACCTCGACGTCCAGCGGTGCGTTGACGAAGCAGAGCAAGGAGAGGTCGAATTACGTGAGGAGGACGGCGACGACGCACATACCGATGCACGTCAGAACGTTCAGCGACGCACACAGCGTCCGTTCCAACACCCCGGACACGTCGTCGTCGATATTCGGCTTCTGCACCGGAAAGAGGAGGCTGCAGGCGTCCTCCGTGGCGCGTAGATCCCCGTCGTGGAAAACGGTTCGGGATGTTGTCTATGAAGCGATTCGAGAAAAGATTAGAGGACCTAAGGCTTTACTTTTCAGTGGATATATATCTTATTTCCGCGACAATATTTGAAAAACATAAACACAAGTTGTTGTCTCCACTGTAAATGCATGAGATTAATGAAAAAATTAAAATGATTTTATTTTCTGAAAGACTGATTATTATTTTAATCTCTGCTGTTTTGATCAAATTTATTGATATTGTTTGGATAAAAAAATTCTAAAGAGAAAATAAAAAAAATAAAAAACTTTCGCAAAAAAGCTCTTTTACTTGTTGTATTTATTATTGTATTATTATATAACTACAAACGAAGTCATTAAATACCAAAGAAAGTTTTAAATATTATTTTAATAAAATATTAGTTATATTTAAAAAATAAACTTATACAGTTTTATCAGTCGAATAAACGCAAAAAGAACAGCAAGATTAATTATATGAAATTGCACCGTAATATTCTGAACCAGTTTATGAGGTACTGAAATTGGAACAAGAAATTTTCAATCGCTAACGTTGATTTAATTAGTCGTAGGTGTAAGAAAAGGCACAATTTCTAATAATGTATTTAAGGGGGGAGTCTGGTTTAGCACGCTGAAAAATAAGGTGATTTTTTTGGAATTCTTTTTAGGAAACTATTCAACCAATTCTTTTGAACTTTATAGGTTAATTTCTTATACTATTAAACTAACAAAAAAATATTTTTTTGCCAAAAAAAAGTATTTATTATGCAAGTAATAATAACATTTATTCGGCGGTGATGGTGTTTGGCGGCGTGCAAGATAACTCAAAAACTATTTATCCGATTGATTTGGGCCTTTGCACACATTTGCACAAATACTTCCCCAATAACTTGGATCACAGTTTATAATAATATTATTTAATTAAATAATTTTTATTGCATGATTAACACGAAAAGTTTTTTGTCAAAATCGCTACCTTCTTTTCCAAGAATTCCAAGTGTCGCAATTTTCACAATTTCGCATTATTTTCTTTAAAAATAGGTTCAATTAATGCGTAAACTCTTAATAAACAATAATTATTTTTTTGGATTTTTTATCTCAGACAAATACAAGTGACACTACATTGCACGCCGCCCGCCGACGCGCCGAATAAATATTATTATTACTTACATAATACTTTTTTTGGCAAAAAATATTTTTTTGTTAGTTTAATAGTATAAGAAATTACCCTATAAAGTTCAAAAGGATTGGTTATATAATTTCCTAAAAAAAATTCCAAAAGTCACCTAATTTTTCAGCATGCTAAACCAGGCTACCCCTTAAGTATAAGAGATATAAGTTCCGTTGGCCATTAAGCTAGCGGCAAGAATAGAGAGAGAGCATCTGTGTCATTAAACCGCTTATTTGACGTATAATAATATCTATCATTTGCAGGGTGAATTGGTGTGGTTCGACCCCGGTGTCGGCCATGTGTTACCAGGCGAGGTGCAGGAGTACCACAGAGCCGCCAATGTACTCTCGGTCCAAGCGGTGATCGCCGGCAAGGTAAGATAAGAGCCCGTCTAGAAAGCGCTTACTAATCGCGCGTCCGTATATTAACCGTGCATAATTACTGAATGAGAGATGTGAAAGAACTCAATGGCTTAGGAAAAGATAGGCCAGACGTGCTCTTTCGTTTGGTAAACAGGCCTTTCTACCGACAATACGCATAGCAACATATCTCGACCACCGATCACTTTGCATTTTCTGAAAACGACACCATTTCGAGCGGGCTTAACTCTCACGTATCTTTGCCAAAATGTTTACCTAATGTTGCATTTTATTTTAAATTTATTTATATAATTCTTTCCGAAAAAAAGTACTTAAATGTATTTAAAATCAATTTTAAAAACGTTAATCAATTTTATTGTTCGATTACTAATATTTGAAAATATAATAATTCAACTGATTTATGTATCTTCCAAAATGTTTATCTAATGTTGTGTTTTTTTTTTAATTTTAAATTTATTGATTTTATGAAAAAAGTAAATATATTTAAAGCGGTGTCAGCAAGTGAAATTTAAGATTTAAGATTTAAGAAAATTGACCAATCATAATCGATTATTTATCTCATGTAAGATGAATAACTATGATTGGTCATTTTTCTTAAATCTTAACTTAAGTCTTAAATCTCATTGTAGACGCCGCTTAAAATTAATTTTACCGTTCGATTACTAATATTTGAAAATATATATGATACAACTGGCTCTCGAAGCAGGATGTTGAAGACAACTCGCGCCTCAACTTGGCTCGGCCTGTCAAGCGATTAAGGCAATCCATGCGCCGTCAGATCGGGAATGGAGCAAGTGTGTACACGGTATCCGCTCGTCGGGTTCTTGACTTTCTAAGCGCGGCCCTCACACGCGCGCGCGCGCTCGAATTCGTTTCATTAGACGAGAACGAGAGGAGCGACTCTCTCACGTCGCGCGCCCGCGCGCCACGTCAATCTGGTTTCCACGTTTTTTCACTCACTTTTTCGTCCTTCGCGCGCGTATGATTTTCAAGTTCGTGCTCCCGGCCGGGCCGGGCCTTGAATCAGCACCCGCTGCCGCCGCCGCGCCCCGCTGCCGCCGGTCATCGTGTACTGATCTCGCCGCTCGTGGGTGACGCTACAGAATTTTTGAAAGGAAGCGAAGTGAAATGACTGGCGGACGATTATTCGCACGCGTCGCAGTTTCCATTAACACTCCAGCCAGCCGCCTCATTATGCAACACCGACACCCATCGTGGACCGCTTAACAACGCGCACTTTTTCCTGCAGCCCGCCCGCTTTGTGTTCTCCGCGTTGCCATTGCCGTGCACTAGTTGCAGCACTGCACTTCACCGGTGTCCCATTATAGGTGACGACGCACATTGGCGTAAAGTCGACACCGATCGCTTTAAAAGAAAAAAAAGGAGTATGGTATCTTAAGGCGCGTCGATCTGCAAACTTAATGGTGTTCATTAATTCGATCATATGTTTCAAAAATAAGAAATTGAAACTTGCATTTTGTAAAAATGGAGAAATTCGATAAAAGTGGTACAATTTGTAAGAGACTTTATGATTTTTATTGTTTTTTATTATCTCGTTTTGCTCATCAGCATCAAAGTACTTCAGAGTTTTTTGAGAGAAAGGAAGGAAAAGCCTCAAAATGTATAGATTTCAATTTAAAGTCTTATCACGATTGCTTTGATCGTAAATCGAACGGCTGGAAGAACTTCACGTTAAAAGTGCCAGAAAACAATGTGTTCAGTCTTTCGAAATCTGACGATAGTTTCGACTTTACTTTCCCGGAAGTGCAACCATCTCGCCGGCGCCAATGGAGGTTCAACTGCAAACGCAGACGAGTCGGTATCCGGTTGAGTCTCACGTGAGTGGCTCTCTCGCTTCTTATGTGAATTCGCACGAATCCTCCTTCTGTTTTGTCGGACATTCTCCGTAAAAGCCGCGTCGAGAAAACGCGGCAGGATCGCAAAATTCGTTTCAACGCTGGAAAGTCACGCAGCGTTTTAGGCGTCTCCCCTTCGCGTCCCTTTCGCGCCGCGGTTTAGAAATTGGAAAGAAAGTGTCATCTCGGGATAATCGCGGGGCCTCTCTCGCGAGTTGTCGTCGAAATTATACGAAAACGCAAGCACGTTATTGTCGAGCCGCCGCGAAACCGTTCTGGATCTTCGTGCGGAAAAACGACGAATAATTGCATACAATTATGTGTTTAAGCCGCAAGTCTTCACTCTCACCAACCTGAGCGGAGTGAAGCCACGGCAGGACTTGGGTCAGAATGGCGTGGAGGACATGATTCAGTTGACGTAAGTCACGAAAATTATCACGTGTCTATTCGCGTAATTATCGCGCCACTGAAAAACGCGCACGTGAAAAACAAATTGAACAAATTGCAGGGATCTGAACGAGGCGTCGCTGTTGTGGAACTTGAAGATCCGTTACGACAAGGAATTGATTTACGTACGTCGCATATATTTACGTTGATTTCATTTATTCCTTGACGTTTGCAACCGGAATCCAATAATCGTTTGCGATGAATTTTTTTTTCTTTTAGACGTACACGGGAAGTATCCTCGTGGCGGTGAATCCGTACAAGATGTTCGACATCTACGGTCTAGATCAAGTGAAGCTTTACGAGGGACGAATCCTCGGTACACTCCCACCGTTAGTATTAATTCTTTTATTTCTACAAAAATACGGTTTTTAAACCAATTTTTTGAAAAAAGAAGTTTATAAAATATTAAAATACAAGAAAAATAATACATCAGTTTTCAATATTATATTCAATCAATATAGTTCTTCAATATAGTTTTCTCCTCATTTTCTACAAGTGGTCTAATATTTTACTACTTAATTAAATCAGTTATATTATAATACCATCAGCATAAAATTTATTTGACGGCTTCTTCAATTAATTCTTTTTAATTTTTTTTATTTCGTTGCTAAAGAAAAAACATTGCTTTTTTTTAGTGCCCTATTTAAAAATGTAATGATCACATAGTGACAGATCAGGGCTACGTACTCTGAAGCTTCAATTTTGGACTTCAATGTTTTCATGATATAAGCTGCAACGCGAGGTCTTATCTTGGAGCAAAATGACTTCTTAACGAGTAACTCTTTTTGCTTAATTAAAATTACTGATTTTTCTGTTTTCCATTTCTTTACTTATTTTCTACAAAGGTATAGTTCTTCAAAAAAATTTCTATAAAAAAGTATATTGAATATTAAAATACAAGCTTTGAATAGTTAGCATTATTTGTTGTCGTTTATACCTTTTGGTATTAAGAGTGCCAAAATAGGGCAATGAAAATAGTAATGCGGAAGAAAATTAATAAATTTTATTTCTGATAACGTCAATCAATTAGTGAAACGTTTGGTCATTTATGTGAAGAGGAAATTATTATATATTAAAGATTAACATATCTCTTTTTATAATACTTAATATACTTTTTTTTAATTCACTTTATTTTTGAACTACCTTACTATAAAATGCTAATAAAGCAGAATTAAAAGACTACCTGATTATGAACATAAACATCAATTATAAAAAATAAAGACTATCGAGATTGTTTTGTCGGTAGCAAACGATTTATTCAGGCATCGAGAAAACTTCATTATTTTTCATTTATTTCGCATTTATATACAAATAAGTCTTGTAAAGATTAGGTTGTCTCCTGATCAACTTACGTTTGAAAAAGACTTGCTTACTATTTTATATATATACTATCTTTCGTAGGCATTTATTCGCCGTGGGATCCTCCGCGTACAGTCAGGTGACAGCAGCCAATAACTCCAGTGCCAATCAGGTGGTCGTCATTTCCGGCGAGTCCGGCTCGGGGAAGACGGAGTCCACGAAGCTGGTGATGCAGTATCTCGCGGCCGTGAATCGCGCGCCGAACAATCTCGTCACCGAGCAAATCCTGGAGGCGACGCCGCTCCTAGAGAGCTTCGGAAATGCCAAAACGCCGCGAAACGACAACAGCAGTCGGTTCGGGAAATACTTGGAGGTTCACTTCAGAGAGTGAGTAACATTGCAAGGAAATATATAAAAGATAATGAAGTAACAAATTTGTCGATTCTGTTGGGTGTCAACATCACGCAAACAAATTTTTTTATTTCTCAGCGGCGCGATCATAGGCGGTAGAATAACGCAATATCTTCTAGAAAAGAGTAGGATAGTAACTCAGGCTTCGGAGGAGAGGAACTACCACGTGTTCTATGAACTTCTAGCTGGACTCGATCAGCAACTCAGGGATAAATACGGCCTGCTTACGCCGGACAAATATTTTTATTTAAACCAGGTGCGTTTGTGCGAACATATTGTGATAAAAATCCCCGCATCCTCAGTTGGAGGAGGACAATATCACGGGAACATTAATAATAAAATTGTCGTCTTCACGTTTCAGGGTGGAAACTGCGAAATCGATGGCAAGAGCGACGTGCAGGATTTCAAGGCGCTCTTGTCAGCCATGCAGGTGCTCGGCTTCTCGTCCGAGGAGCAGGACACGATCTTCAAGATTCTGGCCAGCGTGCTGCATCTGGGGAACGTGTACTTTCACCGGAAGCAAATGAGGCACGGCCAGGAAGGCGTGGAAGTCGGTTCCGACGCTGAGATACGCTGGGCGGCGCACCTTCTTCAAGTGAATTCCGATGGCATCATCCGAGCGCTCACTACCAAGACGACAGTGAGTTTTCACTTTGGTCACATCTCTACGCTTCGATTCTCGACCGAAGAAACATGAAGATGTTTTGAAATAAAATTTACGTCGTTCTTTAAATGTCTCTATAAATACATAATATTTGACCACCATCAAATTAACAAGACATAAATCTATTTATTATTGCAGGAAGCGAGGAACGAGAGAGTCTTCACGGCTTTGAATATCGATCAGGCCCTCGACGCCAGGGACGCCTTCGCAAAAGCGCTGTACAGCTCGCTCTTCTCGTGGCTAGTCGCGCGCGTCAATCATATCGTCTACAAGGGCACGAAGCAGACGGCCGCCATTTCGATCCTCGATATCTTCGGCTTCGAGACCTTCACGGAAAACAGTTTCGAGCAGCTGTGCATCAACTACGCGAATGAGAATCTGCAGTTCTACTTCAACAAGCACATCTTCAAGCTCGAGCAACAGGAGTACGCGAAGGAGAAGATCGACTGGACTACCATCAACTACACGGTGAGATATTGATTTGGACGATATAATTATTTCGTAGCGTGAAACTTTCGCGAAACATAATCAGTATGAGCTCGTAAATCCTGGAAATAACTTTGACTGTTCGCTCGCGTAGGATAACTTGCCGGTCATCCATCTGATCGCGAAAAAGCCGGTGGGCATCCTTCACCTGCTGGATGACGAGAGCAACTTCCCTAAAGCGACGGATCTCTCATTCTTGGAGAAATGCCATTACAATCACGCGCTGAGCGAGCTGTATTCCAGGCCCAGAATGAGCTCCGCCGAGTTTGCGATCAGGCATTACGCCGGACAGGTCTGGTACAACGTGGACGGCTTCCTAGACAAGAACAGGGATACGTTGAGACCAGACGTAGTCGAGTTGCTCATCAGCAGCAAGATTTCGGTAAGATTTCTCGTCTTGTCTATGCCGTCTATACGCTGAACGAATCTCGTAGTAATACACGCTCGTGACGGATTACAGATGGTCAGCAAGATGTTCCAGCATGTCAGAACCACTCACGAAGCTAATAAAACCGTGAACAAGCCGAACGGCAGATTTGTCACCATGAAGCCGAGAACCCCGACTGTTTCAGCTCGATTTCACGACAGCCTCCAGCAACTCTTGGAATCCATGTCTCAGTAAGCATTTCAAAATTCGCTTTGTTATGCGATATTAAAAACCGGCAGAAGTTGCAAATTATAAGAAACAATATTTAAATAGATTCGATAAAACTTAGAGGATTTTAACATTGAAGAAAATCTAGGACGTCCACAAAAAATCTTAATTGACATTTTTGTAGATTTCTTAGATTTTTGCAATAATTATTACTCTGTCACTATTTGGATAGTTAATATTTATTTCTTTTGCATTTGCAGATGTAATCCGTGGTTTGTCCGTTGCATCAAGCCGAACACCGAGAAGGCCCCGATGAAGTTTGACATGCCCTGCGTGCTCGAACAATTAAGATACACGGGCATGTTGGAGACGATCCGCATCAGGAAAACTGGCTACCCGGTTCGCCTTCTGTTCGGACACTTTGTGGATCGATATCGTTATCTCGTCTCGACGCATTTGCCTAGGGGAGCGCCCAACAAGGAGCTCTGCAGAATAATTTTGGACAAAGCAGCTCCGAAAGAGGCGCAGTCGCAATATCAGCTTGGACTTACGCGAGTGTTCTTACGCGAATCGTTGGAGAGAGCTCTGGAATATAACAGAGCGTTGATTCTGGAGAGAGCAGCCATTACAGTCCAGAGGTATGTTCCAAATTAAATGTAAAAAAAGACACGTTGCAAAAAGATTATTTATGATTTCGTATATTACATTAATTATATATAGTATATGTATATTATATATAGTATAAATACAGTATAATTATAGAGAATTTTATGTATAAAATTAATTAATAGTTATATAATGTATTATTCATTAACAATTATATAATAATTAATGTATAAATATTAATACATTAATTAATTATATAAATAACTGTTAATGAATCAATAGATAGGTATATAATTATTAATTAAACACGATATTATTAATTAATTTTATAATAAATAATTTATATATAAAATTCTCTGTGGCGATTAAATATCTGCAGAAATGCCACACATTCTTTTTGATTCATTTCACTATACCTTCTTCTTAAATAGTGAAATTAATAAATGTGTGAATCTTTCCCGGACGTCGCTCTAACGGTTTCTTTTGCAGATACACGAGAGGCTTCTTGGCGCGCAGAAGATTCCTCAATATTTCACGCAGCACAGTTCTGATACAAGCGGTATATCGCGGTTACCGCGAACGTAAGCAATTCCGCGCGATGAAGAAGGGCGCTCTGATGGCGCAGAAACTGTACAGAGGTAGGAAGCAACGAGAGACGTTTAAGGTGTTGAAGGAAGAGATGGCGAAGAGGGCGGAGATCGAGAGAGCCAGTAAGGAGCGAGCGAAGGCGAAGCAGCAACGAGAGGAGCAGGAGAGGACCTCGCGAGCTGTTGCCGGTGTAAATCACTTGGAGATTCCCGCAGAACTAGCCTTTATTTACAGCAAACTCGATGGTGCGTTTTTGTTTATCAGGATAAATATTAAAACGTCGCGAAACTCGTCTAAATCTTTGGACATGTTTCTTCCGCAAATTATTCCTCGGATTTTTTTCAATATCCTTTCTTCGCAACTTTTAGATTGGCAACCCACGCACACCGAGCGAAATCTCCTCAAGGTCGTTGGCCAAGTCATCCCGATGAACTATACCTACAACCTGCCGTCCGACATCGATCAGTATCAGTTCTCCAAGTTCACCAACATTTACTTCAAGAGCCATATCTTCGGGATGAAACGCGAGCCGATCAAAACGCCGTTCCTGACAAAGGCTCGCGATCAGGATTACACGGACTCCCTGATGATCTTCAAGATGATACTGCGCTTCATGAATGAGAGTAATCTTAACGGCAAACGCGAGCAGGCGTTGGGCGACTACATCGTTAACAAGGGCATCGTGAACGAGAAGTTGAGGGACGAGATACTATGCCAGCTGGCGAATCAAACCTGGAAGAATGAGAACGACGCCAACAAGGAACGAGGATGGCTGCTGTTGTCCAATTGCTTGTCGGCGTTCCAGCCCAGCGCCACGCTCTTCAAGTACTTTCTGAAGTAAGTGTGTCCTTGTTCACGCACGAGACTGATCGTTACATGTCCCTTAATTAACATTCTTCAATCAGATACGTCTCCGATCACGCCTACGACGGCTACAAGGCTTATTGCCAACGCAAATTGTTGCAAGGCGAGAGAACGGTATATCGTATGATGAGCAATAATCAGCAAACGGTACATCAGGTGCCCAGGAATTATCCGCCGTGCGTCCTAGAATGGCGAGCCAACAGGAATCGCGTGAATATGGCGCTCAACGTTGGTTTCTACGACGGTAAATCGCGTCCTCGAATTCATAAAGATAAAAGTACGCTGCTGTAAAAACTTCATTTGCAATCGGCAACATTTCGTTTTGCAGGCGAGACAACTACGTGCGCGATAGACTCCTGGACGACGTGCGAAGAGTTGGCTAATCTCGCGGTACGGAATCACGGGGTGGAGAACACCGGCTGGACCATCACACTCTGGAATCAACTGGATGGCCCGGACGCTATCGTGACGGAGACCAATGGTTTCGACTACGTGCTGGACTTGATCTCGGAGATGGAGTTGGCGCCAGCTTTTCCCGCCGCCAAGCATATGTTCTTGGAACAGCGTAAGAACAGTCTGCCACCCATAAAGAAACGAGAGGTAAGAGAAATTCAGCGTTGACTTTAATAGCGAAAGCTTAAGAGATAATAAACTCGACGATGTACAAATACCTAGATGCAAATAGAAAAGAAATATAATTGTCGTTAAATTACTAAGTATCGAATATTTAAAATAATGTCTTTTTTTTTCAGCACGCTCAAGTTATTCGGGAGTTGGAACAAGAGATGGAAATTCCTATCCTAAAAACTTTCCAGCCTCTGGAAAGGAAATCAGTGCCAAAAGTGGTTGATAAGCCTGTTGAACTGGAGATTCAAGCACCCAGGCGGCCGGCAGTACCTCCACCGCAACCACCCATTACGAAACTACCCGTATGTATTGATTTAATTAATCTTGTGATTTTTTATTTAGTGAAAATTTTTCTTTAAATTCTTCATATAATTTTTTAGAAGTTTTATATAAATTTTAGAATTTTTCAGAATTTCTGTATAATTTTATAGCTTTATAAAAAATTTCTCAAATTTTTTATACACATTGGAACATTTTTTAGAAATGCCGAGAAAGTATACATCTTTTGTAGAATTCTTTGCATTTTGAAAAATATTCTAATATTTTTCATTTTAATTTCTGAAGAAAATTTTTAAAACCTGAAGAAATTTAATGTATTTTTCAAAAATTTTCGTAAATTTAAAATATAAAAAATTCGAAAGAATATAAAATATTAAAATTTTTTCACTAAGAAATAAAGAATTTAAATAATATTCAAATACATAACTTTTTTTCTATATTAAATCAAATTATAACATCTCTCTTAAAACGATTTTAGTAAAATTATGAAATATGTAAACTATAAAAAATTGATTTAAAAATATGTTTCTGTTAAAAATTGTTAAAAGAATAAATTTCATTTATTCTATATTAGTTAATGTATTTGCAAGTATTGTTTCTATATTTATTTATTGATTTCTCTTTCAATCTTGTATTTAACAACTCAATAAATCGTTTACCAATTATGTCTGGAAATGTAATACATGCAGATGCGAAAACAATCACACGAAGTCATTTTGGAGACCACGGAAATGGGGTTGTCGAGGAAATCCGCTTTGAACGACCGCTATTTCGAGAAGGAGAAGCAACGTAGCCGAAGTTTGGACAATCTACTGCAGTCGGAGGTCATGCCGTCGCCGGTGAAACTCGCCAATCTAGGGCTTTCCTCGTCCAAATTGAACGAACGGTATCACAGTCTGGAAAGAATTGGTGAGACTCCAGCGGTCAGTAACGTTGAGTACATGACGCGTGCTGAGATCACGCAAGAGAGGAAGTACAGCAGAGTCACAAGAACGACGGAGCCCAACATCGAGGAGGAGGATCTCACGATTGACTTTGAATACCCGGATATTCAGTCCGTTAGTCAAACCGGAAGATCGGAGGACGATAAGAGCTACATAAGGTCGCAGACCAGGTTCATCAAGTCGCAATATCCCGGTGAGTAGTCGGAAAAGAGTCATTCTTAAATTCTTATCATCTTCACATCTTCTTATCGTTTTTCGAAGGATTTTCAAAGATTTTACTGCAATGTATACACATTACGTCGTGACGTCAATGACCTCGAGTTTGTCCTTTACTCCCGTTATTTAATTCGCTGTTGCGTAAAACGTATTTTACTTCGAGAGAATTTCTATCGCGGAGAAAGTTGGCAATTATGCAACCCAATTTTTCCGTATCGACCGCGTATCGATTATTCCTCTCGCGTTTTCAGGCAAACGCGCGCTGCCGGGAAGCCAGTCTAGTCGCGCTTACATCGAGAAGAGTGAGTACGGTGTAAAGTCGTCTGCCATGTCCGATACCAGCGAGGCGCCCTCCTTGGCGTCGCACGTGCGGCGCGTCAGGGTGCCCAGCCAGGCTTCCGACGTGGACCAATTCTTGGATGAGCTATTTATGCCCGTGTTGGACGGCAATCTCGACGAGCTGTCGGACGCTCGTAGTTTGGCCGCTTCGATAAAAGGTTCGTACGACACTAGGCCACCCGGCGACCAGACAGTTCTCGAGAATCTGCAGAGAGTCGACAGTCGAGCTACCAGAACAGCCACGGTCGACGACTTTGTCGAAGGAATGATGACGAGAAACGGAGGAATCGCGAATATCAGCGCGGGCGAACTGTCGAGGAGGATCAAGGGCGGCGGCAATATGGACATTCCCAATCAAAACACGGCCTTCAACTTCAACCCTATCGCGCAGAGCATGATGTCACCGCCCATGATGATGCCCATGTTCAGCCCGACTCAGCAGGTCCCGTCCGCGCAGAATACCAGCATGAGCATGGGCGCGAGCTTCATGCCCATTCCGATCTACAGCATGCAGGGACTCAGTTTACCGCAATATCCCAGTTCACCGCCCGGCCAGAGCAACGACATTGCGGCGTACCAACAGAATCTCCAGCGAGCTTTCCTGCAGAGCGCGATGGCACAGAATATTCAGATACAGCAGCAGCTGCTAGCGCAGAATCAGGCTTTGCAGCAGCTCTTGGTTCAAAGCCCGCAAAACTCGGCACAGCAACCGGTAAGAAATTGGCAGAAAGAGAGAGAGAGAAAGAGAGAGAGAGAGAGAAAGCAAGAGATCTGTACAAAAAATCTAATATCCAAGGTTTATGTGATTGAACAGAATGATTAATGGGGATTGATCTTCTTTTACCGTGATTCAAATGAAATAAGACCACACAATTGTTGAACACAATCTGTCCAGAAGAATCTAAATCTTCATTAGAGGTGTGCGAATCAAGCATTTGAATGATCGAATCGAATCGAATCGAATCTGAATCAAATTTTCCCAAATTAACATTACATGTTAATTTAAACGTAATAAATGTCAAAATTTATGAATTATTATTATTTTACGCAATGATTTAAACAAACTAAAGACCTATTTTTGATTTACATTTCATTACAAAGGATCATGATCTTATGTGACATTTTGAACTAGAAAATATTAATAATATGGGTATACACGAATAGTTAGAATGCTTTCGAATATTTTATAAATCTATATGAATACATTACATATATCAAAAATACTTATTTATTAGATAAGAATAATTGATCGCGCAGGAGATGTAAATGAATCAAATAAAATAGGCAATCGATTCGAAATCGAATCATTGTTGATTCAAAATTTTCGAACTATTCGATTTCGAATCTTGCAGATTTAAAAACAAACTCGATTGAATCTACTGTGATTCGATTCGATTCGAATTCGAACTATTCGCACACCTCTAATCTTCATCTTCCAGACATTTAATTCTTTAAATTTATTTTCTGGATACTTTTTTTAAGATGTATATATAAATAATATTGAATTTCTAAACATTGAATTACGATAAATAGATCAGAGGAAAATGTTGCATGTCGAGCACGATCGCGAAAGGTTTACCGCAATCGGCGCGGCTCACAATCACGTTTCACTTACGGTCACTTAACTATATATTATATCATTAACTCGATGATCCGTCATCGGTAACCGAAACGGCGGTACACGCACGTAATGAGAGCTAACTCTTAACGAAGCTGTCGTCGATTCTGGGCGATCCTGTGGGTTTCTGAGCCGCGCCGCTCAGCATGGGGTGTGTGTTTCCAGAGCACGGTGTTACCCGCTGGCCCCTCAAGCATGAATCTTGTTCCCTCAGCCCCCCCAATCGGTGCCCATATGGGGCCCAATGATTCTATCGGACGCTGCTCCAAGGTATCTACTGATTTTAACAAACTTACGCTGTATATTACGTGGCTTTCCTAGGACTACGGAAACATATCGTGTACATATCGTCTAGCAGAAACCAAAGAAGATATTCGGAAGATATTATTGCCAACCTGATCGAACATTGTCTCATTCATCAAATCATCGCGGCTTTCTTCCGAATACATTTTTTTAATCTCGGGTCAATCCTCCTGCAAATTTCGTCGCTGTAAAGAATTTTCCGAATTACGTGAAGACGCCATCTAATCTTTCTTGGATTAGGTCTCATTTAGAGAACCCGACGACGGTGAATTATGGTCAACTGAGAAACGGGGAACTCCCCTGCTGACTTCCACCCCGACGAATCAGCGGCAGGAAACGATGACGGTAAAGGCTCAAATTCACCGGTCCCAAAGTCCGCCCAGGAAAAATGCCGAAATCAACAGAAAGACGAGCGCGGATTACGCGCGAAAGATCAGCATGGATCGAAAGGTGGTAGATAGAAAGGGGTCATCGGCACAGGCAGACATGAAGAGAGCCAATTTAAATAAGAATAACATACAGAGCAATTTTACTAACGTACTCAGCGAACTGAAGAACAGGAAGAGCAGCGTAGACAGCAATCCTTCAAGTTTAAGCAATAATAAAGGTGTTCCCCCGCCGCCGCCAATGCCACCGCCTTTGGAGTCTCATGATCCGTCCGAATCGAGACCGTTCCTCGATCCGTATGGTAGAGCGAAGACGGTGCGCATCGGAAAATGGAGGTGAATTCAGAATTCGACAAATTAATAGTTCAGGTAGCAAACTGACATTATTTGTCGTTATTTTGACGTCAAAATGTCGCCCAAATATGTCAAAATATTTTGACGTTAAAATAACAAATTATATCAGCTTGCTGCCTGAAAGTTGAATCTAATTCAAATGACTATAATCTTTATTTCGATGTTGTCTAGGTGGCCACCGCCTAGCGACTCGAACGAGAATCAAGGACAGGACAGTTTCATAGAATTCAAGATGCGTCAGCAACAGCAGCAACGTAAATTAACGCCGCAGTATCAGGAGTACGATCAAGGCGAGGGCGGCGAAGGCACGACGGAAGGTGGCGTCGAGTGGGAAGAATTCGAGATTGAGAACATCGTTAGTAATGAGGATCGTTTGGCGCATTCGTCAGCGACCGCGGCGAAACACGAGAACGGATACAAAGAGGAAGGGGAGAAGAAGAAGAAGAAATCGAAGTAATTGACACATAATACTTTTTTCTCCATATTTATATCGGGCTTAAGAGAGCGATACAAATATTATACAAACGGTCGGATTCTTTTGCAGGTCGGCTTTGGAAGTGGGCGCGCAGAGACCGTCGCCGGGGAGCATAGGAAAGTTGAAGCTCAGCTCGGAGATGAGGCAGAGACTGGAGAAGGTAACGGCGAATCATAGCGTGAGATCCACGAAGACGGCTGAGAAACCCGCGCTCCCGCGAGAAGACGGAAAGGTTAAACGGCTGGAGGATAACAGGAAGCTTCTGTTAGAACAACAACTGGGTAATTAGATCTTTCTTTGTGTGTTATGAAGCGACAAGCGTCAAAATTAAATGTAAACGTATATTTATAATATTTGGAAAAAAAATTTTCAAATTTTAAGGTGGCAGGTGGGATGACTACGCCTCCACTGTTGATGACACCCAAAGCGTCACTTCTAAGGGCACAACTGACATGATGACCCAAGCTCAGGTGGTGAGGACACAGATCGAGAGAATGGAACGACCCGTACCGCCTCCGCCGCCCGTCACGCCGCCGCAGCCTCCGAGTCCAAGAGGCGGCAGTGTATACAGTAACAGGTAACAGTGACGTCACGCAGATTAAACATTATCGAAAATTATTCCAAGTTAATAACAATCGTTTTAATCCTTGTCAAGCCATACAAAAAATACAAGAGATCTGAAAAGTCAAAAGATTTTGTTTTGTCATGAGATATGATGGTTGTTGAATGATAAAATTAGTAAATAATTCATTCATTTCCAGTCAATCCGGCGTACCTCAGCCACGATCCCCGCCAGCGCCGATCGAGCCGAAAACACGCGACTCCTTCCACACGTCTCCGGACTCCGAGACATATGATCATTTTCCGAAGAGTCAGATGTTTAGCCAGAGCCGTGATATCTTCGCTTCGCAGCAGCACTTGCGCGACGGTCACGATTACAGGAACGACTTCGACAAGAGTCGCGGTCAGGACGGCAAGTCCAAGGACTTCTACGGCAAGGACAGCATCGACATGGCGAGTTCGACGCGCGATCGCAACTCCGACTTCGACTCGCGCCGCGATCTCAGCTCCGAGATCTTCGACTCCAAGTACGCGTTCGACGGCTCGACCGGGAAGCGCGATCCGTTCGGCATGACCCGGGACGTGTCCCCCAAGTCCCGAGACAGCTTCGGAATGCCGTCGCCGCGCGACTTCGGCGTGATCCCGAACACGAGGGAGTCCTTCACCGTCGCACGGCACAGTTTCAACAATCGGGACATGGACAGGCGATCGAGCGTAGCTTCGACCCACCGCACCGATAAGATGGAGAGGATCGAGATCGAGGAGTGGCCGGAGTTTCTCAAGCCAGTCTTACCGCCGGCGGACAAGCCGGAGATCGAGAAGGTCCAGGAGGTGGTGAACACCAAGCTCTACCCACAGACCTCCAACGCGCATTTCACGTACAACAGAGTCACGTGGACTCTGAGGGTTAAGAAAGAGGTTTTCGCGCCTAATGAGACGCTGAACAGCCCCCTGGCTCTGCACCTGGTGTTCTGCCAGGTCGCGTACGACGTGTTGGCGACCTCTAGCATAAGGATTACCAAGGAGGACCGGCAAAACATGCTGAAGATGCTGGATAACTACGGCGTCACGCTGGACAATCTCCAGAGCACGCAGCACAAGATCACGATTAAGAAGAACATCGTGGACATGGCGAAGCAGTGGCCGTTGTACTTCGCCCGGATATTCCCTGTATCAGTAAGTTCACGTTCGCTCTTCCATAACGTCCCATACTAATAATTCAAAAAGCGTTCTTCTTCCGACGGTCGAGAAACGCTGATCGAAAAGCAGAAACGGTCTGAAAATTATTTTATTACTTCACGACCCGATAATCTCAATTTAAATCTTGCTTTGTAATTTTAATTAAAATTAAATAAATGTATAAGTAAATATCTCAATCTGAATCCAGATCGGGCCTCAACATCCGGAGACGCAGCACGTGGCGGTGTCGCATCACGGGCTCCGATTGATCAAGCGCACGCTCAACGGCGATCTGATCATTCTGGAGACTCTGCCGCTGGAGGACATCGTCTCCGTGAACTCCTCGAGGTCGGGCGTGTGCGTGCTGCAGATCGCGTCGGGCGTCAGACTGCCCCTGCACACGAACCGCGCCCCGCAGCTGGCGGAGATGATCGGCAGATACATCAGACTGGTGAGTGCAAACCTATAATGTCCCTTCCGCGGACGCGAGCATCGCGCGCTCGTCCACGACCAATTAGCGATGGTCGACCGCGGAAACGATAACGGCACACACGATGCGCCACGCAACACCTGTAACGAGGCAACCGCGGGGCAACGCCTAGTGTAAATTGCCTTTCCAGTGAGCGATCATATATGCTGGCCAATGCCTCCTCCGTCTCTCTTTCTCTCTCTCTTTATTCCTCTCCGCTTTATCTCGTCTCTTTCTCCGCCATCGCGTGGAACGTCGGCATCAGCGGATCGCCATCAGCCGATCCGCGCCGCGCGCTCGATACTTCTATTCTTCGACGCTTCGCTCATCTTTCGAGCCGAAGTTGCGCCGCGCGATGTCGACATGCCGCGAGAATGCCGCCGTCGGGAATTCCCCTGCGAGAAGCGCGGAGTTCTCCTCTCGCCGATGATCGTTCCGTCGTAACTTATGCAAAAAGAAAAGAAGGAAAAAAAAGATTTTAATCTTTTAAATATCTTGATCTTTCGCATTCTGACGCTGTCGGAGACGACATATATATATGCAGACAGCCGCTCTTATAAAAGGTAAAAGTTCCTTCTCTATCTCGCAGATGCCTTTTGATCGAGTCTATCCTCAGTGAATCATTAAGACCGCGGAACGCGGGACGGTTTTTTGCGCGCGCGCGAGAGAGGACGGGCGGCGGGAGAGACTCGTCTTTACGTCTTGTGCAAACGGAGAGATCGGATTTCTTATAACACGCGCTACGCGCCTGTTCATCAGATGCACCTGCATGCTTCGTCGCCGCACGCGATTCAAGGAGCGATCGTTCAGCGTGACGGAACGTTCTCTCGATGACCGAATGCAGATGAGCAGACGAGAGATCTCCATGCCGAATATGATTCTCGCCTGAAATTTTTCGATATATATATATATTCCGATATGCATATATTTTAGTGCACGCGTTAAAGATTTTGCTCTTAAATCACGGGACTCTCTCGGGGGG